GGTGGGGGGGGGGTGGGGTGGTGGTGGTGGTGAGCCGGCTCTGAAACAGCGTAAATGCGGGCAGCGTCACCTGTGCACTGGCCTGCGGCACTTGCACGGCCACTGACATGGCTGCAGCTGGGCTAGGTGTCTGCCATACGCTGGGTTTTCACATATATTATTTCTCACAAGCATGGAAGAAGCTAGCAGGGTAACTATGGTTACCCTTGGGCTTGTTTTTGGTTGTTGTGTGTTTTTTCCCAGAGGAGAAAGTGAAGTTTAGACAGTCCTTCGGCCTGCATGGCCTCCGTTCGTCAGGGGCTGGCTACCCTGAGGAGCAGGGTCCTGGTACACCGGGCTCTACTTCGGCTCAGGGACATAGCCAGCTCCCGAGCAGGCTGCTTCCTGGTCCTTTCTCTCCTTGTCCCGGGATCAGAGGGCGTGCAGAGAGTTGATTCTCAGGTACCGGGAGAAGAGCACGTAGAGCCGGCGGAACCACAGGAGCTGGCTGCGGTGGCAGGACATGGCCCTCTGCAAGAACCGGAGCACATGTTAGCAAACAAGGGCACTGAGCACTTCCTGTTAGTTTGTTTCATCTTCCTCCCAACAACACACCGATGCTAGAGCCTTGGCAGGCTTCTTCCTGTGACCTCGGAACCGAGGACTGGCTGCCACGCACCGCCTCCCTCTCCCATGGCCACGCGCTCCCTGTGGTAACAGCAGAGGATGCGCCGCAGCTGTAACGCTCAGTCTCCACGCAGTATTTCAATTTTAACAACCCAGTGACTTAAGTACTATTATTATTTCTTAAAAAATAGATGAGGAAACATATCCATCTCAAGTAGCTAGCACAGAGTGGGCTGACATTTGAACCCAGAGCCATCCGATTGCCTCTGGAGCCTTCGTTGTTAATCACTTTGCCCCAGCACTTCGCATGTATGACACACAGGGCGTTTCATGGGGCAGCTAGAATACTAGGCTCAGACGCCTCTGAATTCGGTAGCCCGGAAAGTACAAGTGCTGTTAGAGAGGAAGGAAGAATGGTGCACATAGGCCTGGGTTCTCTTTGCTGCCTAGTGGAAGAAATGTTTATCATCTAGTTATGCAGGTCTGGGAGAGTTCAGTTTTTAAAAAGAATGGATAATAGCAACTGATTTAACTGTATATAAACATATAAACGGTTTCTGCCTGTTTTTCTTTAAGTACCAAAGTGATCTTCCTCTCCAAGTTAATATCATTATAAACCTTTCTCTAAATAACTCGTTTTATATTTGTCAGGACATATGTGGCTTCAGAGATGTGAGTGCACCTGTGATGACAACAAGCTTTAAGTGATAAAGGGAACTATCACCCTAGCTGGTGTGGCTCAGTGGATAGAGTGTTGGCCTGCGGATGAAGGGTCCCTGGTTCGATTCTGGTCAAGGGCATATGCCCAGGTTGCGGGCTTGCACCCCACTAGGGGCATGCAGGAGGCAGCTGATCAATGATTCTCTCTCATCATTGATGTTTCTATCTCTCTCTCCCTCTCCCTTCCTCTCCAAAATCAATAAAAATATATTTTTAAAAATATAAGAATAAATATATTCTTATGTACATATATTTATCTAATATTCTTTATATAGAAGATATAAACCAACATATTAACTAGGATTACATATGAGAGGTGGGATTGCAAGAAATTTTATTATTTTAATTTTCTTTTGATGCTTTTATGCATTTCCAGATGTTCTACAATAAGCATATGTTATTATTTGCTTTTTTAGCATGTATTATTTATTTTTATAATCAGTAAAAAAAAAAAAGGTAGTTCTTGAAAATCTATGACTCCAGGTCCAGCACCAGTACTGACACGCAGGGGCAGAGGCTGGCTGCTGGGGGAGGTCTCTGTTAGGGCCTGTGCAGGCCAGGGTTTGAGGAGCCGGAGTCTGGGCAGATCTGGAGTGGGGTGTGAAGGAAGTTGCAATCCTCACCTTGGCCTGTGTCACTTCCTTGCTGGTCAGCACGAAGCGGACATGGCCGGCATGAAGCAGAGAGAAGGGCAGGTCCAGAAGGGCGATGTACTTGCGCAGCACATTCACAGACTGAAGCGTGAGCACCGTGCACCCTGGGTGGGGGAGGGAGGGGGAGGAGGGAAGAGCTGTTGCTTCCAGACAGATTTTCCCGAGCACCCTACCTGCCCCTTGGGGCTCAGGGCGGGGCAGTGGCCCTTTGTCCATCATTCTCCCCGATGAGAAGAGTGAAAGGACCGCAGGACACCTGGCCTGCTGCCTCTCCCTGCTACAGTCCTAGCAAGAAAAGGTTGGTTGCTAGACGTTGGGATTTGGCTACCTCAGGGCCAGGGGAAAGAGGACAGAGACAGGAATTTCTGTATTGGGAGGCCAGAGGTCTGCTTCCTGCTCGGTCACTAAAGAACTAAGAAAGTCCCTTAACCTCTCTGAGCCTCAGTTTTCTCATCTGTAAATGGTGTTGATAGTGTGGGACCTGCCTGTCTCACAAGGTTAATAAATAAGAATAAAATAAACTATAGTCAAGTTCCAAAGACCTCACAGCTTGGCGACCTCAGTAAGCCCCTGAGAAAGGGCACATGCTCATATGTTTTCATATCTTTCATCTCCACAGCATTCCTGGGAGAGATGTGCATTGTCCCTCTGACAGACCAGACACTAGCTCACAGGTCAAGCAGCCGCACCACACAGTATATGGCAGGGGGCGGCATGCACCACCTTTTGGGTTAGGAAGAGTTTTGAACTCAAGCAGATTAATCCATCAAGCACCCACCAGTCAGTTACAACCTGGCTAATTAACTGCAGGATGGGAGGTGAGTTTGGACAGACAGACTGAACGAATACCAGAGGTGGAAAACCCACCCGTGAGAAAGCTAGGAGGCGAGTGGGCAGGGCCTGGCGTGTCAGCTGCACCACAGGGCGCCCAGATGATTGGCTGAACATGATTTCTGGGTGTCCGTGAGGGTGTTTCCAGATGGGGTTAGCATTTGAGTCAGTAGATTTCCTTCCAGTGTGAGTGTGAGTGTGTGTGAGCGCACGCGTGTAAGCATCCAGTTAGGGGCTGAAGAGAACAAGAGGCCAAGGAGGGGAGAACTCCTTTTCTGCCTGACAGAGCGGGTATGCTGGTCATCGGCCCTCAGGCCCTGGACTGGGCCTGGGATCTTGTCATTGGCTCCCTGCTTCTCTGGGGGCCCTGGGCTGGGCCTGGGATCTTGTCATTGGCTCCCTGCTTCTCTGGGGGCCCTGGGCTGGGCCTGGGATCTTGTCATTGGCTCCCTGCTTCTCTGGGGGTCCTGGGCTGGGACTGGGATCTCGTCATTGGCTCCCTGCTTCTTGGGCCCTGGGGCTCGGACAGAATGATACCACCTGCTCCCCTGGGCCTCCAGCTTGTAGAAGGCAGATCCT